ATACTCTTGCATACACGCAAATATTTCGCGATTTTCCTAGTGCTCACCCCCTTATGCAAAAGTGTGGGTCCAGGGAGAGTGCAAGAAGATCCCTGCAAAGGTTTGCACTAGCCTCATAGATAACATGCCTAGGAGGGTGCGGGTGGTGATCAAGGCCAGTGTCGGTGGACTAGGTACTAGAAACGCTCCTTAGAAGTTTGCCCTTTGTTATGGGAAACAATTGTCAGGATGTACTCTTTGTATATCTTTTGACACTAAGTTAGATCCAGTGTATTACTATGGATTTTAGCATTGTGAACACATCCACTATGAGCCCCTCCCAAAGCGTACTACCATTAAACATTAAGACTTTATGTACAATGTTCGAAAAGCCCCAAAACCCTAATTAATGCGAAACCTCCGGACAATTGTTTCCGTCACTGTAGGTTCCTGGAGAACGAGGGGATGTGCAGGCCTGTGAGAGAGCCCGAAGGAACCGCCGGGCAGGGGAGGGTGGTGGAACTGTGGGCGACTACAGGGCCAGAGGAGGGGTCAGCCAGGGAGACGGCGGCAGGGACAGGAAGCGGTGTCAACGTGGTGGAGTCTCGGAAGAAGCACCGGGAAGCGCCAGAGTCGAGGGTGAAGGAGAGCGCGGCAGTGGCGACCGGAGGCGGAGTAGCGACGGAAGCACCAAGGCTAAACAAAGCAGGGGATCCTACGCTTAACACAGCAGAGGAGTCTAAGCAAGGCACACCTACACTAGGCAACAAGAGGTAATAAGACAAAAGCACACTAGAGTCATCAGCATACATCACATGCAGAGCAGCAACAATCTCATTCATGTCCAGATAAAAAATCTGAACCCTACGACTAAGCAAGCTGTGCCAGTCTGGGAGCTCGAGCGACGGGCCGAAACGCTGACGAAACAGGTCGTCTAGGCGACGGAAACAGCGGACGGAGGTATGACCGATCTTACCGCAAACGAAGCCACGTCGAGGACCGGTCTGAAGCAGGTAATGACAGCGCGCGGCACCCGAACCACCACTCGGCAGCCCACCACGCGCACCACCACCACGTCCAGCGCTGCCACCAGCGCCGGGCCACCCAGGCGGAAGACAACTCGTCCGCCTCTGCTGCTGCTGCGACTACTGCGGCTGCGGCGACAGCGGCAGCTGCGGCGGCTTCGGCTGCTGCGGCTGGCGCGGGTCCGGCAACATCGGCGACTGCTAAGACAGCTGCTCGGCTGCACCTGTCAGGGTCCCCGCGTCAGCACCACCACTAGGTGACCCAACTCCAGCACCACCTACACCCGCACCCCCACCCCCGTCGCCACGTCCAGCCTTGGGGCGGCAACCCTTCCCCGGACAAACCTGTGCGGCAGTGGCAGTCTCAGCCACAGCAGTAGAACCGTCGGAGAAGGTGCACTGAGCGGGGGCACAACCCTGAAAGATAGGGATCGGCATAGTACCGCTGGTCTGAGCGATAGAGCGGTGGCGGGCCTCTATAGCGGACAGGGTGTCAACAAAGTCAGTGAGGGTAAGGTCTGCGAGGTGGACGCTAAGAAAGCGGTCACGGGCAGTGGCAAGACGGTCAGGGAGGCGGGTGGCTAGCAGGTAGAGAGTAGAGGTAAGGGGCGGCTGGTGGGCTAGAAGCTGTGTGGGGGTGCAGGCAGCACGCCAGGTCTCGTCTATGGTGCGCAGGTGAGCGGCCAGGTCGGCGACAGTGGGGAACGACACAAGGTCAGGAAAGAGCATGGGGAGGATCAGGCGACCTACAGAGGCAGCAGGCGGGGTGGAATAGCGCTGGACAACGGCATCTAGGAAAGCTTGGGCAGTGGTGATAGACCTGAAGCGAGGTCGCTCGGACAGGGGGAGGGCATTGCTAATAGCAAGCTGTGCAACAGCGTCACGGGACAGTCAGACAGAGCGAGCAAGGGCAGCGGCTGCAGCGGACTCACGCTCAGCGGACGAGGGGTCAGGAGATAGGGCAGCGGGGGGGTCAGGGCAGGGGAGGGTACCATCAAGATGGACAGACAGCGAGTGGCCATCCTGCCGCTGACCAGTGAGATGGCGACACAGGTCAGCAAGCCACGCATCAAACTCAATCGGCTGCCCCTTAGCGTCAAAGCAAAGCACCGCCGCCATGAGTGACAATAGAGGGCAGTGTAGAGTAGGACAGTGCGGTGCAGTGCTGTGCAGTGCGGTGTAGTGCGGTGTAGTGCGGTGCAGTACGATGCGGTATAGTGCGGTGCAGTGCGGTACAAAGCGGTGCAGTGCGGTAAAGTGCGGTACAGTGCGGTGCAATGCGGTGCAGTACAGTGCAGTGCGGTACAAAGCGGTGCAGTGCGGTGCAAAGCGATGCAGTACGGTACGGGGAGGGGGTTCGGAGGGCGGTGCTGATCGGGAAGAACGGGCCGAACCCGAGGCAGCGGCAGGCCGGCGACGGCGCAAATGCAGGGGCCGGCCGGCGGGCGGCAAGTAGACACGGCTGCGACGGCGGCCAGGGACAGCCGCAACGGCGGCCAGGGACAGCCGCAACGGCGGCCAGGGACAGCCGCGACGACAGCCAGGGGCAGCCACGACGGCGGCCAGGGACAGCCGCGACGGCGGCCAGGGACAGCCGCGACGGCGGCGAGGGGCAGCCGCGACGGCAGGAGCGACCGTGAGGCGGCTGGAGACGGCAGTGGCGGCGGCTAGGGGCGGCCACGATGGCGAGGGGCGGCCGGGACGACTAGGGGAGGCCGAGGGATGGCAGGAAGCGGCCGCGACGGCGGCTAGAAGCAGCGGCGCCGGCTAGGGGCGGGCTCAAACGGCCAGGGGGCCTGCGAGGAGAGGGTGCAAAACAGCCAGGGCGCCGGCTAGCAGGGGCTCAACGGCCAGGGGGCCGGCTAGGAGCGAGCGCGAACGGCCAGGGGGCCGGCTAGGGACGGGCGCGAACGGCCAGGGGGCCGGCAAGGGACAAGCGCGAACGGCCAGGGGGCCGGCTAGGAGCGAGCGCGACGGTCAGGGGGGCCGGCTAGGAGCAATCGTGACGGCCAGGGGGCCGGCTAGGGGCGAGCGCGACGGTCAGGGGCCGGCTAGGAGCGATCGCGACGGGCAGGGGGCCGGCTAGGAGCGGGTGCGACGACCAGGGGGCCAGCAAGAGACGGGCGCGACGGCTAGGGGGCCGGCAAAGGGCGAGCGCGACAGCCAGGGGGCCAGCTAGGGGCGGGCGCGAACGGTCAGGGGTCGGCTAGGGACGGGCGCGACGGTCAGGGGGCCGGCTAGGAGCGGGCGCGACGGCCAGGGAGCCAGCTAGAGACGGGCGCGACGGCCAGGGGGCCGGCTAGAGACGAGCGCGACGGCCAGGGGCCGGCTAGGGACAGGCGCGAACGACCAGGGGGCCGGCTAGGGACGGGCGCGAACGGCCAGGGGGGCCGGCTAGGGACGAGCGCGACGGCCAGGGGGCCGGCTAGGAACGTAGGGGCGGAAGCGTGAGCGGGCTAGGGGGGGATCTTGTCAGAAACCCAGTCACTAACCACTAGGTTAAAAGGGCTTGTTAATAGCGGGTTAGTGCGCCCATAGCCCCCCAGGCTCTGCACCTGTGGCCCTTCCCCGAGGATCTCAAGGGCAACCCCAGCGGGTCACTCAGCACCCCCCCCCCGCTTGGATAGGTGGAAGACACGAGCGCCTCTGCAGCGCTGGCACTGGGAGTTGAACCCAAGACCTTTGGCTCTGATACCATATCAGAAACCCAATCACTAACCACTGGGTTAAAAGGGCTTGTTAATAGCGGGTTAGTGCGCCCATAGCCCCCCAGGCTCTGCACCTGTGGCCCTTCCCCGAGGATCTCAAGGGCAACCCCAGCGGGTCACTCAACAGATCTAACCTACTATGATACCATATCAGCAAGAAAATTATAGAAGCAGAATGTGTGTGTACAAGGATATATAGACTAGGGTGTTGTACCCTTTAAGGCACAATCCAGTATAGTCTATAGAAACAACCTAAATTACATTTGACACGATAGTCCCGAGGGCGACGGGGTCCAATTGGGTTCGGGGCGCCTCGGTAACAGGTTCAGGGCCGATGAGGTTGGCGAGGGTGGTTTGACGCGATACTTGAGGGCCGAGGCTGCGGACGCGCACTGTTCGCGGCACTCGCTGTGGCGAAACCCAGTAAGGATTCGTGGAATCCTTACACCTGGTATACAACACAGTGGTATGGTACACGTAGAATGATAAACGCCTCTCTTACACCAGGTTTTTACATAATATGATCATGTAGGTAACAAAACGCCGATGTTCTGGGTCAATGGTATTCGGGATTGGGTGTTGTGATAGTTGGCGCATCATGAAAAAATTGTAATCATAAGCAATATGTGTTAAACCACGAATGTAATAACAGAATGTCCGTTCACATTTTCCAACAATAATGAATGAATTCTGAAAAAACAAATTTTCATTGCTCGAAGAGCATAAATCTGAATGCGAGATTACGTGTGATGCTAAAATGCTGACACGTAGTTGTTGGGATTTAGCTGTTAGGAATTATTTGTAGTCTTGATTTGTCTGTCCTCTTGTTGGCTCGGTGCTACTAAACCTCACTGACGAGGACAAGCTGTAGGCCTTGAGTATATCCAGCCCTCCACGGGCTGACGCGAAAAAGCACCAGCAAACCCAACCTAGCCAATCACAGCTCGTCTTCAGACCACAAACAGCTGGTCTCGGGCTTGTGGCTCTCGTAGCCTCGGTTCACAATCTGGCGTCAGAGCCAGAAACTTTGCTTCGGCATCCTCACAGCCTGTCTCCAGGCCACTGGCTGTTCAGCCCTCCCCAGCTGCGGCTTGCCGAACCTCCGCAAAGCACAAGGATGCCCAAGCCACTGCCAGGTTTTGTCAGCAGGGCCGGTTGGGAACCAGCCTTGACGTAGCGGGCCAGCAGGTCCGCCATGAATTCTACCCCCAAGGGAACGAGATTAGGGTTTGGTGAAGCAGCCTGCCGCCATGGATTTTACCCCGCTCGCCTTTTCCATCCCGCCCCAACCACACACTCTGCTCCTTTCTGTTGCGCAACACTCGCTTTCTGTGGCTCCTGTTGATTCAGCCGTGGCCCCGAGGAGGTCACAGAGACATAACGGGAGGCAAGGCTGGCCTTGACGCTGTTTTGGGACGTTTGCCTGCGTTGAATGTTCCCGGCTGTCTCCCCCTCGAGCTGCGGATCTGTGCTTCTTTTCTAGGAGGCCATGGTTAGCAAAACGCCTTTTTCACAATCTTGTAATTTCTGTCACGGCTCGCGGCTTAGCTGTTGTGAAGTTCAGCGATGGTCGCGTCTGCTTTAAGCGTGGAGGGTCCTATAGGTCTCGTCACAACAGCGCAACAACCTTCTAGACCTCCGCTCGCAGGCTCCTTCGCAAGCAACCAGCCAAGTTTAGTAGGGCCGACTAACGAGAAGAAGATGAATGGGACGATGGAGGGAAACCAGGCGAACCAGCCGCCTCCTTTTTTAACAAAGACGTACGACATGGTAGAAGACCCGACGACGGACCACGTGGTTTCGTGGAGTAGTGGTAACAACAGTTTCGTCGTGTGGAACCCTCCCGAGTTCGCCAGGGACCTCCTGCCGAAGTACTTCAAGCACAACAACTTCTCGAGCTTCGTCCGCCAATTGAACACCTACGTACGTCTTAATTTTCACTTTTTGTTCCGAAGCGTTCAGCATTCGTCGACGGAGTTGACAGTTTATACCCGTTTTCCCTGGTCTGCTCCGTTAACGTCTATCCTTCATTCTGTTCGTGAGAGCAAACACGGGATGCAGTGTTCCCACTTCATTCCGGATTTCCCAATGCCTTTTTCCCGCGTTCCCCCTCGCCACTGTCGCGCAGGGGTTTCGCAAGGTGGACCCGGACCGATGGGAGTTCGCCAACGAGGGCTTCCTGCGAGGCCAGCGACACCTCCTTCGCACAATCCAGCGTCGCAAGCCCGCGTCGCAGACGGGAGCAGCGACGAACGCCCCGTTGCCGCCCGGCCATCCGCACGCCCCCGCGTCGCTGCACGGCGTGCTCCCGGTCCCCGCGTCCCCCAGCCTAGTCGAAGTCGGGAAATTCGGTCTAGAGGGCGAGGTGGAGAGATTAAAGCGCGACAAGAACGTGCTGATGCTGGAGCTGGTGCGGCTGCGGCAGCAGCAGCAGCAGCAGGCGAGCACGATGCAGGTGATGGAGCAGCGCGTGGCGATGAACGAGCAGCGGCAGCAGCACATGATGACGTTCCTCGCCAAGGCCGTGCAGAACCCCGCCTTCCTCGCGCAGCTCGTGCAGCACCAGGCGGACCACGCCAAGCGCACGCACGCGCACGGCGGCCACGCGGGCATGGGCGGGCGCAAGAAGCGCAGAATCGCGAAGCAGGACGGCGGGAACTCCCCGCCCTCGGGGTCGTCCTCCCCCAGTGTGCAGCCCGAGGGGCAGATCATCGCCTTCTCCCCCGCCGCTGCCGACCCCTCCATGTTCCTCCTAGAGCAGTTCTTCCCGGGTATGTCCCACCCGGGCATGGCCCACCCAGGCATGGCTCATCCCGGCGTGGGGCACCCGGGCTCTATGGCCGTTGACACGTCCCTCGATCCTTTCTTTCAAGACCTCGCTGCTGCGGCCGCCGCTGCTGGCTCCTCCCAGCCGCTCCCGCCGCGCCCCTCAACGGTTACTCTCACGGAAATGAACGTCCCTGCTGAGGGGAGCTATCCTCCCAGCTCCTACACTGCCGCCGCTCCCTCTGCTTCCACTGCTGCTGCCACTGCCGCTGCTACTGCTGCTGCCGCTGCTACTGCTGCTGCCGCTGCTACTGCCGCAGCAGCTGCTGCTGCCGCTTCTGCTGCTGCCACTCCGTCTGCTGCACCAGCAGCACCACCAGCCGCCACCGTTCACCCTCACAATGCTGCCGCTCTCATGGGTACCACGGCTGCTGCTCTTATGGGAAGCACAGCCGCTGCCGCCACTCCAGCCGTAGCAGCGCCACCAGCAATGCCGGTGCCCACGCCTCACCCTGGCATTCCCCGGCCATTCCCCTTGCCCTTCACCCCCCTCCCCATGCCCTACCCCCCCTCCCACCCAACCGCCGCCACCGCTGCCGCAGCAGCAGCAGCTGCAACAGCTGCAGCAGTAGCAGCAGCAGCAGCACCAGGATCCGGGTATTCCCCAGCAGTGCCGCCAATGGTGCCCACGCCCTTGGCTTTTCCCCCCGTGGTGCCTCCCCCTCCCCCTGGCATGGACCTGTCGCAGAGCCTGCTGGTGCACGGGGCTAAGATCAGCCCGCTAGGCATGCCCGCGCCCTACAGTGCTGCTGCGCCGCCGCTGCTGCACCCCTACCACCTGCTGCATGCCTCTGCTGCTGCCAGCGCCCCTGCCAATGCCGCTCTCGCTGCCACCGGTAGTGCCTCTGGCTCTGCTGCGTCCCTCGGTCCTGCCGGTGCTGCTGCTACGCCTGTTGCCGCTGTTCCGCACCCTGCCTCCGCACCTCTCATCAGGGAACTGACAGCTGAAACTTCAGGGATAGGGGATGCCAGTTGTACAGCAGATGGCGCAGTGTCAAGTGCAAAGGCCGGGGCTAGAGAGGACCTGGTGGGTGTAGGGGCAGGGGAGGCGCCGGGGGAAGCGGGGGCGATAGGGGGGGGAGAGGGAGGGGAGGGCTTGGGGGGGGCTTGGTGGAGGGGGAAGGGCTGGACCTTGAGGGCACTGGGGGGTTTAATGACTCGTTCTGGCAGCAGTTTCTTAGTGTGGCGCCGGGGGAGGGGGAGGCGGAGGGGGGAGGGGATGGGGCAGGGGAGGCGGAGGGGGAGCATGGAGTGGGGGATTTGAATGTGGATGAGCTGGCGCAGGGGGTAGAGGGGGCACAGGAAGGGGAGCAAGTGGGGTAATGGTGTGAGAAAGGGGCATTTTTTGTTATAAATTTTGAGTATTGAGGTGAGTATGTGCGAGAGGAAGTGTGAGGAGTATTTTGTGTCTGGCCTGTTGTGCACAGGAGTGTGTCAGATGAGGTGGGTTGTCAACTTTTGATGCACGTTGCTGCTGATACCCTAGAGTATCTGAACTCTGCGGGTTGTGACTCGCGGCTGTTATGGTTTTCACCTCCCCTCTGCTGTCCCCCCCTACCTGCTCCTACAATCTTCGCCTCTGGGAGTCATGACATTTGAGATGGAGCAGGATAGTCTTAACAAATGTGTCCATGAGGCATACTACTAGTACCCATGTGTGCATAACAGTCCTGTAGAAGTATACTGTAGATGTTTGGTGCTTTGTAGGGATCCTCCTGACAATATATGGTAGTAGTAAGCCCTCAGATTTCAGGCAAATTTCCCTGATTCAGGGCTTTTTCAGAGGTGTTTTTTTGTACCAAGCTTGTCTCACTCAGAGTAAAAAGTTGACTAGAATGAGGCATACAAGTTCATTTTGTTCAAGTGGTTGTACCCTCTGTTAACGTAGAAACGAATGATTACTAGAGGTGGAAACCTAGAACAAATACTAGTTGGTTGTACTCACTAGAAGCATACCTCAGTCTAGCCTATAACTTCTACATAGATAATATGTATAAGTTGACACACCCCCTAGGCTAGACAAGGGGTGAAACTAAACAAGAAGCAAACAGCTCAGGGCGGCACTACTAGTCCAACCACTGAGGCAGGGGTCTGGAGACCAGTCAGCAAGAATACAACCAAAACTGAAGCAAGCCAGGGTGGCACTACTAGTCCAGCCACTGGAGGTAAGGCCACAAGGCCAGTCTGACAAGCATATATAATAGAGAGTACACAATCAGGATCCTAACAGGGGAGCAGCTATAGGAACAAGACCAAGCTGTACACAGTGCCGCTGATGATCTTTAGGCGCAAGCGCCTTAGTAAAGATATCAGCTGTGTTGGCACCTGAGGCCAAGTGAACTACGCGGGCCTGGCGGCGCTGCTGTAGCTCGCGCAGGAGGAAGTACCGCAGCTGGATATGCTTCGCTCTGCCCTCAAGCCGAGGCTCCTGACACAGGAGTATCATGGCCCTGTTGTCAGCGTACAGGACCGGGGCAGAGCTAGGCCGCTCACCTAAGTCTGTGAGCAAGAAGGTCAGCCAGCGGAGCTCCTGTGCCGCCATGGCACCAGCGTAGATCTCAGCCTCACAGCTAGACTGAGCCACAGACGACGAGCGAGTGGATCTCCAAGAGATAGCACCCGAACCAAGGCTGAAACAGTAGCCCTGCGACGACCTGAGCGTCTCAGCGTCGTCTGCCCAAGAAGCGTCTGTGTGCCCAGTAAGGACCACTGGCCTGCGTCCTCCTAGCACTAACCCCATGCCTGATGTACTAGCAAGATAACGCAAAACCCTCTTAGCGGCAGACCAGTGCTGAGGTCGGTGTCTGCCTGTAGCCACAAAGCGAGCCAGGATGCTGAGAGGGTATGCGAGATCTGGGCGAGTGCAAGTCATCAGGTACATGAGGCAACCCACCAGCTCTGCGTAGGGGCCACTGGGCTCTACTGGCTCCTCAGGAACGGGAGCAGAGAGCCCATGGTCTACGGGTAGAGGTGTGGGCTGTGCGGAGGAGAACTGAAGACCGAACCTCTGAAGGACCTGACGCACCAAGTGTGACTGGGTCAGAGTGATGGTGCGTGCTGCTCTGTCCCTAGAGATCTGCAGGCCAAGATAGCGACGCAGCTCTCCAAGGTCAGTGCAGGTGTGTCTCTTCAGCAGCTCAGCCTTCACAGAGGCCAGTGCGTCCCTGTCAGGAGTAGCGAAGACCAGGTCGTCTACGTAGACAAGGATGTAGAACGGAGTCTGGCCGGAACGCACAAACAGTGAAGGGTCAGCAGAGGACGGAAAGAACTGCAGGTCTGCTAACGTGGCACGTAGCGTGTCGTGCCACTCGCGGGGAGCCTGACGCAGGCCGTAGACCGGGCGCCTGAGAAGCCACTGGGTCCCAGGAGGGAAGGTACCAGTGAAGCCCTGTGGTCGGCGCAGGTAGACCTGCTCGTGTAGGCTGCCCTGAAGAAAGGCAGTAGAGAAGTCGAGGGAGTGAAGCTCGTAGTCACGCTGTGCTGCTACGTGTAGCAGCGCCCGAAGAGTGGTCATCTTCGGGGTCGGGGCGAAGGTCTGGAACAAGTCAACCCCCTCGCGCTGACTGAAACCTCTGGCCACGTAGCGCGCCTTGAAGACAGGCGGCTCTCCAGGGGGGCGCTTCACCTTGAAGAGCCACCGACCATCGACTACGTTCACCCCAGGCGGGGGAACTGCGTCGACGTAAGTGCCGGTGGATCTCCAAGATGCCATCTCCTGCTCCATGGCAGCTATCCACTGAGAGGCCCAAGGTCCCGAGGTGGCCTCAGCGTAGGTGCGAGGGGTCGGGATGTCGAAGGCGTCTGGGTCACCCTCAGGGACTAACAGCATGGAGCAGAGATGGGGAGCAGCCTCGGAAAGGAAAGCCAGCTCGTACTGCCTGTCCTCTAGGACGTCACTGCCAAGGGCAGGAGCACCCCCGACGGACAGAGGACGGGCAGGGTCAGAGACCAGAGCGGTAGCGTAGTCAAGGCGGCGGGTAGAAGCGAAGTCAGCGACAGCAGCGACAAGCGCGTCAAGGCGCGAGACAGGAACAGCAGGGTCGGTAACAAGAGAGGCAAGGACCCGAGGGACAAGGGGACGAGCAGCACGGAGGTAGTCAGAGAACGGAGGAGGTGCAACAGCAAGGGACGAGGGAGGAGGGGACGGGAGGAGGGGAGGACGAGACGAGTGGGAACGGAGCAACATAGGGTGGGTGGGCAGGACAGGAGAGACGGGACGAGCACGGGAGGGACGGCGAGCCCAAACGTGAGACGGAGGGGTAGGGTCAGGGGACAGCGGAGGAGACACAGGAGGGGAACGAGGAGGAAGACGGGCCGGAGACGAGTCTGGCGGCGGGAACACAGGACCGTAGACAGGGAGGTCAGGAGGCGGTGGGGGAGACACCGGCGCGCGGTCCGGGGAGGGAAGGCCGAGCAGGCGGAGAGCGGAAACCGGCGGCGACGGCTGCTGCGGCGGCGACGACGGCTGGGCCGGAACTCTCGGACCAGCAGAGGCAGAACGACCGTCGGCAGAACACTCAACAGCAGCACCCCCAGAACCAACACCCCCAGAGCGGGAACCCCCTCCAACACCAGCGGCACCCCCAGAAGCCGCAGGACGAACACCCTCCTCCACACCAGCACCCCCAGGGGCCGAGAGCAGCGGCGGCAGTGGCGGCAACGGCTGCGGCGGCGGCGACAGCGGCGACGGCTGCGGCAGCGACAGCGGCGGCGGCGGCGACGAAAGCGGCGACGGCTGCGGCGGCGACGGCGACGGCGGCGGCAGCGGGGTTGGCGACTGCGACAGTGGGGGCGGAGGCACCGGGGAAGGGGGACGCGGCAAGGACGGACCGGGGGTACCACCAGAGTCAGCAGACTCCTCAACGGGGACAACCGACGGGAGGGGAGTGACGTGGGAGACACCAGACGGGGCAGGACGAGGCGGGAGAGGGGCAGGGGCTACCGGGGGAGAGGGAGCAAGGAAAAGGGGGGGGGCAACTGGGAGACCTCGGTGAGGGAAGCGGCGGTAGAAGGAGACGGACTCATCAAAGGTGACGTCACGAGAGTGGAGGAAGCGGTGAGACGGCGGGTGGTAGAAAAGCCAGTCAGACGAGTCCAGGGGGAAACCGAGGAAGACACAGGGGACAGTGCGGGCAGTGAGCTTGTCCGTGCCAGAGGCACGAACGTGAGCAAGGCAGCCCCAGACGTGGAACGCAGACGCGTCACCGGGGGACCCGGTCCAAAGGAGGGTCGGCGAAACCTACGGCCGTTGGGAGCGTGGCCACAGGTTAAGCTGGTGAGCCGCGTAGCGAACAGCGAACGGCCACAGAAAATGGGGGGCATCGGCATGGATCATGGAGGTACGGGCGACCTCCATGACCAAGCCGATGCGGCGCTCAGCAACCCCATTCTGCTGTGGCGAGTCCGGCAACGTGTACGACTGGGTGATGCCCTCCGCACAACAGAACTGTCCAAGCCGACCAGAGGCGAACTCGCCGCCACGGTCGGAGTGGAGACACAACACGGGGAGACCGCGGTGGAGACGCGCAGCCACAACCCACGGGAGAAGAACGTCGGGCACGTCGGCCTTCCGCTCCAGGGGAAACACCGTGGTGTAGCGCGTGTAGTCGTCGACAAGCACAAGGAAGTAGCGCTCACCGCGCGGTCCGGGGACGGGGGCAGGGCCCCAAACGTCCAAGTGCAGGGTCTGAAGGGGGGCAGTAGCAGGACGCAGCGAGGAGGAGTGAGGAGCACGGCGGAGCCGACCCTCGACGCAAGGCGTGCACGGTGGCGCAGTCGAGGGAGGAAGGGTAGGGAGCGACGCGGGGAGACCTAAGACAAGACCGTGCTGGGACATGTGACGCAGACGCGGGAGAGCAGGGTGACCTAAGCGGTGGTGCCAGAGAAGGGAGGGGTGAGTGAGGGACCGACACGAGCAAGCTGCAGCGACCTGGGAGGACGCACCAACCGGGGGGGAAGCGGTGTGTAGGGTAAACAGACCGGACACCGGGTCCCGGGGGAACGTCGCAAGGGGGGAACCTGAGACAGCCTCAGAACAGACAGCGAACCGCTCGTGCCCGGGGAACGTGGTGGTGACGCCGAGGTCCTGGAGACAGCCGACACCAACCAGGTTCCTGGAGAACGAGGGAACGTGGAGGCCAGTAAGGGAGCCCGAGGGAACTGCCGGACAGGGAAGGGACGTAGAACTGCGCGCGACGACCGGACCCGCAGAGGGGTCAGCGAGAGAGACAACAGCAGGTGCAGCAAGCGGCGTGAGCGTGGAACGGTCGCGGAAGAAGCAGGCAGAAGCACCAGAGTCGAGAGTGAAGGACAGCGACGCAGTGGCGGAGGCCGGGGACGGAGCCGGTGCAGCGACTAGACTAGGCAACCTAGGCAGTCCTACGCCTGTCGCAGCAGGGGAAGCTAAGCTACACAAAGGTGAAACACCTAAACTAGAGTACACAGGGTAGTAAGATCCATCAACACTAGAAGCGTCAGCATACAAAGCATGCAAAGCAGCACCTATCTGATCCATGTCTAACTCAAAGATCGGCACGCCCTGGCGGAGCAGGCTGTGCCAGTCAGGGAGGTCCGGGGCCGGGCCAAAGCGACGACGAAAAAGATCGTCGAGGCGGCGGAAACAGCGGGCGGTCGGGTGCGGGCGGCGGCACAGAGTGCCGCGGAGAGGCCCGGTCTGAAGCTGGTACTAGCAGGTCACAGCACTGGAGCCGCTGGTAGACGCCAAGCTGCGCGGGCCGCCACCACGGCCACCGCCTCCGGAGGTGCCGGGCCAACCAGGCGG